GAGGAGGAGGAGGAGGAGGAGGAGGAGGAGGAGGAGGGGGAGCTCGGGCTGTCTGGCAGGCTGCCGGGCTTCGGCGGCGTCGCCGTGCCGGGCTCCCCGACCGCGGCCGGCGGCCGCGGCGAGGGCTCGCGCAGCCTCGTGAGGCCCACGGAGTAGGCGCCCGGCAGCGGTCGGCCCCGGCCACGGCCGCAGAATGGCCGGGCGCCGAGGCCCCGGGGCGGCGCCTCCCCGCGCGAGGGGCTGCCTCTTCGAGCAGTGGCGAAGCGTCCTGGCTCGCCCCCCCAGACAGCGGGCGTCTCGACAAAAATCGAGACGGAGGTTTTGTCGTTGTTTTTTCGACCTCTCGGGGCCCTCGCCGAGCCTCGGGGCCGTCCAGAAGCGGCTCGGGATGAATGAACCGGTCCCGGGGAAGTGGTCGGGAGGTCGGGGGCCCGTGTCTCGAAAAAATCGCGACGTCGGATGTCTGGATATAGGCCCACCAAAGAGTGTTCGAAGAACCTTTTGTGGCCTGCGCGGCATGTTCTCAGAGCATTGCTGGCTGAGACTGTCTTGCTTCAACGCATCGTGTTTACGTTCTAAGAGCATTGCTTTTGCTCGTAGAACATGCTTCCTTGGTTCTAAGAACATGTCGTGGTAGGCCCATAGGAGTGCCCTGGGACGGTCGGTCCCTGCTCAAGCCTTCCTTCTTCCGAGGGCCCCGCCAGCGGAGGCGCGCGCAGCGTCCGTGAGGCCCACGGGGGGCGCGCTGCCGATGCACGGGCCGACGGGCCGCCGAGACAATTCGCCGCCAGGAGGTGGCGGTGTTGCGAGGGGTGTGGCCGCAACGGGGGGGGGACGAGAGGAGAGGATTGGGAAGCAGGGCGATGCTCTGGAAGGGCCAGCACTCTCATCCATCGACGCCCAGAGGGCTCGCTGGAGTTTGGAGTAGCACATGTTGCTACTGCAGCTGCTGCTGCTCCTCCTCCCACTACGAGGGGGCGGGGAGCGGCCGAATGGCAGCGTAGGCAGCTCTCCATGCCAATGCTAGCTGGCGAGCGTCTATGGGCCGTGGCGTCCTCAATTGACGGGCCGCAGCGTAAAGGTTGCAACTTTGTCGCTCGAATCTCGGCTCATCGTTCCTCCTCCCCCCGCACCTCACCTGCCCTCGTGCTCATCCTCGCTCCTTCCTCGTCCAATTTGCACCGGCGGGCGCGAGCATGTTCACCAGGCGAGCTTCGGTGTCCTGGCAGAAACGTCGTCGTCGCCACGCGGCGCAGGAAGAGGAGGAGGAGGAGGAGGAGAAGGAGGAGGAGGAGGAGGAGGAGGAGGAGGAGGGGGAGGGGAGGAGGAGGAGGAGGAGGAGGAGGAGGAGGAGGACGAGGAGGAGGCCTGTCAGTCCTGAGACCATCATAACACACAGCCCAACTTATTCCAGTTTGGGTCTCTTTACTGTCATTGGCCTGGCTGCGCAGGCCTAACATTAAGTCGGGCTTGTCCCTCGACAGGAGGAACATTCAAAAATAGTAAAAGATAGTCGGGGACGATGCTTCGACTATTTGTTAGTTGTCTGAGATATGTCTGACATGCTGTATTTCGTCAAAAGTCCGCCTGTAGGGGGACATACCCGACCTAAGCCTGACAAGATTGGCATGGGGTTCGGAGGGACTGGGCTCTTGAGGTGATTAGATCGGGGAGATCCCTCATGATCCCTCATGCCCTCCCTCTTCCTGTCGGGACCCCCTGACCTCCAGGGCGGGGCGGGCCCCTAGGCGCTTCAGACAGGTCAGCCTCCTGCGCCACCCTCACTCCTCGTGCTTGCGTACATGAATTCACCACCGGCCATCATGCAGGCCGGCCAATCCGGCTGGCCTACCAAGACGACCCCCTTTCTTTGGTACTTTGGGGTGCGTGCTTAACCCGCAAAGAATTTGCAAAAAGCACGGGGGTCCTGGGTCCAAGGAGGTTTGGGGTGAACCGAAAAACCCTGGGCTGCAACCGAAGAACTGCCACGCTTGCGCTTTCTTGCGACTCAGAGCTCTCGTGGCTCGGGCCTCTCCGCTCGGGCGCTGGGTCGTTGGAGGGGCGCCTGGCCGCCACCACGCCGCCGCGGACGATGCTCGCCAGCGCTCGGCGCTCGGCGACGTCCCTCGTGGTGCACGCTGGTCTTGTGTCCAGTGTCAGTGTCCAGTGTTCATCTCTTTGACGTGCCATCGAGGGGCGGCTCTGGTGTTAAGTTGGGCCTGTCCCACTACAGGGGGAATATTCAACAACAGTCAAAAAATAGTATGGGGGTCATTTTTTGAGGAAGGTTTTTTTTTGTCATTTTGGACATTTTTTTTTTTGTTTTTACTTTTTCGTCGAAAGTCCCCCTGTAGGGGGACACGCCCGACTTTATTCTGGTGGGATGGACGCGGCAAGCTGCAGTCCAGCTCCACCGATCCGCCTCCATATCCGCCGCTCGCCCGCTGACGGGGCCCCCGACGGGCGCGTCGAAGCGAATGGTGGCATGATGCTCGTCGGATGGTCGTTCTTCAGGAGAGAAAAAGACACACAGACACAATCAATCGTCGATTCCCCAGAAAATATGGGAGAATATGGGAAGTGGGGGGGAAGACGAAAAGCAAACAAATATGGAACATGTGGGGAATTCTGTTATTTGTGTGTATTTATTTGTATGTCCTTGGGCCCCTTCAGCTCTCTCTCTCTCTCTCTCTCTCTTCTGCCTCCCTGGCCAAAAAAAACGCCAGCCCTCTGCCCGCTGGCGCCCTCTCGGCGACCTCCGCAGGGCGCGGTGGCGCCGGGGTGTGGTCTGCGACCTGCGCCGCTGGGGCCCGTCGGGGGGGGGCCCTGGGCCCAGACGTGCGGCGCCCCGATTTTTTTGTTGCAGGACGGCGTCCCCGCGAGCCCCGACGCTCTCCCTGGGCCTGGGGACCGGCTCTTCGTCCCGAGCCGTCTTTTGACGGTCCCGAGGCCCGGCAGGGGCCCCCCGAGGCCGAGAATCAAGTCGGCCCGGATTAGTAGGTCGACCTTGCCAAATCATAGGGCGACGAGATCTATGCATATCCACTGCTCCTGGCCAGGCCCATCCTGGGCCCAGGAGCGGTGCATATGCCTCCCTGGCCAAGCCAGGAGGGCGTATACACAGCTCTTGGGCCCAGGATTGGCCTGGCCGGGAGCAGTGGATATGTATAGATATCGTCGCCCTAAATCAAGGGTACCCTTGTGTCCTGTGGTTCGCGACCCATGCTGTCTGCCTTCCTGCGGCGATGTGGCCCTCGAAAGGGTCTCGTGTCCTCTCGCGTGTCCTCTCCAATCCAGTCCGACTGTAGCCAAAAACCTCGCGTCCTGATTTCTGCTACGACGCGATCGTGTCTGGGGGTGGCCCTCAGCGGGCCTCCTGCTGGGGCGCGGCGGAGCACGCCGTGGAGGTCCCCGCCCGCTTCCCGAGGTGCGGGCCTGCAAGCCTCAAGGTCGGGCCTGTCCCGCTACAGGAAGCATATTCAAAAATAGTCAACCAAATAGTCTGGGGACCATTTGGTGAGCATTTTTGGGGGTATTTTCAATTTCAATTGAATCAGGGCTGAATTAGGGCCGAAAATTGATTTGAATTCAATTATTTAGGGTATAGATTGAGATTTTTCAAAACAAATTTTATGATATTTTCAATTTCCGATCCGAAATCCCGCTGTACGGCGAAATCCCGCTGTACGGGGACATGCCCGACCTCATGCAAGCCGCGCCCTCTGCAGACGCACACCCTCGGCCGGGGATGGAAACCACCCGGGGATTTACGAACCCCCGAAAAAGCTTCGGACAACTTCCAAACGTCCCCAGCGACTCACCACGCGCACCCCAGGGACGCCCTCGGCGAGGCGCAACTGATGGAAACCACCCCGGGCTTCAAGAGCTCCCGAAAGCTTCCGACGACTTCCGACAATTTCCAACAGTGATGAGCCTGTTTTCCACCACCACCACCATAAGTTGGAGGAGGATGAGGAGGAGGAGGAGGAGGAGGAGGAGGAGGACCAAGAGGAGGAGGAGGACTTGGAGGAGGAGGAGGAGGAGGAGGAGGAGGAGGAGGAGGAGGAGGAGAAGGAGGAGGAGGAGGAGGAAGAGGGGGTCCTCCTCCTCCTCCTCCTCCTCCTTCCCCCTTCCAACTTGCGGTGGTGGTGGTGGAAAGCCGGCCCCTCAAAAGGTCCCCAACGACTCACCGCGCGGTGCGGTCACCACGCCGCCCGGGGCCCCCCTCCGTGCAGTGCGCCCCCCCCCCCGCCCGGGTGCGCGACGCCCGAGCGTCTGCCTCCCCCCCTGGCCTGGGTGCCAGCTGCCGGCCCCGGGTGCCGCCGGGCCCGGCCCCAAGGGGCAGGGCGCGGCCCAGGAGGGCCTGAAGGTGGCCCCAATGATGGCCCCAAAGGGGGAGCACGAGCGGAACATCCGAGCCTTCCGCCCCCAGGAGGCGCCAAGAGGCCCCCGAGAGGCCCGCAGAGGCCACCAGCACAGGCCCTCCAGACGCCCCAGGAGGCCCCCAAGAGTTATGGGCGCGGGGGTTGCTAAGGTCAAGCAGTGGCGAAGCGACCCAGCTCGCCTATAGGCCTACCAAGACATGTTCTAAGAGCCTTTTGTGGTTTCCACGGAATGTTCTTAGAATAGGTCTGGCTGGGTCTATCTTGTTTTCACCCATGGTGCTTATGTTCTAAGAACATTGTTTATGCTATTCGAGTATTTTGGGATTCTAAGAAGATTTCGTGGGAGGCCTATAGGAATGCCAGGACGATCGGTCCCTGCTCAATAAGGGGATAAAGGGGGCTACCAGTGGATACCAAGGTGGGTTATGGCCTAACCTAGCTCATTGGTGGGTTGCGAATGCCCCCAGTGGCTTGGGTGGATAGCGATCCAGGCTAAGTGGGCTCCACCCACTTAGCGGAGTTGTCTAATCCCCCCAAGCCACTTGGGGCATGTGTAACCCACGTGAAAGGTAGGTTAGGCCATGTATAACCCGCTTGGCGTCCACTGAGAACCCCCCTTATCCCCTTAGAACCCCCCCGCCCATCCTAGCAGACCCCTTCGGAAAGTCACGACGGGAGGTTTCTCGCCCTTTTCGGCCTCCTGTGGCCCTCGCCGGGCCTCGGGACCGTCAAAAAACGACTCAGGATGAAAAACTGGCGTTGGGGAGTGGGTTGAGACCTCTGGGGGTCGACGTTGTGAACAAATCATGACGTCGGGGGTCTGGGAACGGTGGTTTGGCGCTTCCGTGGGCTGTTTCCGTGCTGAGCTCGTCTGGCTGCTGTGGTGGGTCGGAGGCAGAACAAGACGGAGTCGGAAAACACCGTTGATCACCGCCCACGGAACCACCCCAACCCAAGCCGAAGGCCCCGATTCCCGATTTGCCCTCCATTCCCAGTGGGCGGGGATCGGGGGACCATGAAGCCCGTACCGCCCCCAACGCGAAATTTGGGTCTTCGGGTTCGGTTGGGGTGGTCTGGCAGGTCGTCAGAACAAAGCGGAAGCGGAAAAAGACCGCTTAGGTCGAGCCTTGGCCCGAGGTTCCCCCAGCTGTTTGAGCTAGCTGGAGATCCGTGGGGCTCCGTGGGGCCCCCGGGCTTCTGCTGAGAGGGCCGCCCCCCCTTTGCGAGGGGTGCCCCCCCTTTCCCTGGATGATGGTATCCCTCCAGCAAAAAAAGCACCGAACAGAAAACAGCAACAACAACAACAATACTAACACAACAACAGCACCAACAACAGCAGCAACAACAACAGCAACAACAGCAACGATAACAACAACGACGAAGTCGACGACATCAACACCGACAACAACAGCAACACCAACACCAACACCAACAACAACAACAAC